CTGACTACTAATGTGCGGTAACACAAAACACAGACACACAGACAGGCCAAAAACAATACCTTCATTATTCATGGAGGTTATAATAACAACTAGAGTTCGACAATCTCATACCTCCATGACATGTTTAGTGCTTTCGTAAAGCTTATGCATAGTGATGATCACATAAATGGCTTACATTTACAATCCTGCTCACTAGCAAAATTTTTATACAAATTATTCACATAGCCCCTACCTAGTAACATACAACACACTGGTGAAATCCTTACCATTTAACATGGACAACGTATGATATTGTTGGTTATATGCAAGTATGACCTCTGACCTTTTGCCAACTCATGTTTGCCATCCAAGCTGACGAATTATACATTTTTTACTGCCAATATGCAAATTATAAGAGACCATTTCCATATATTATAGTCATTTTGATCATATTCTCCGCCCAATGACAGGGTTATCTTAAGAAATAAGGCTATTCTAGCATTTCCTCATAAATTATGCAAATGAGGTCCTGATTTGAATAAATTATGTTTAGTGATGTTCGCCTTAATTGAACTTCCAAGTATGGCAAGTGTTCAATTCACAGCAGTTACCACCATAAAACTGTACCAATTTGCCATTAATTATGCAAATTAGGTCTTCATTTACATAATCAATATCTACCAATGATCTTGTTGTTCTCAATTACATATGTCTAAAGTGTTTCATAGCCCTAATATGGAATACAGCAGATTTATAGAATTTCCTCATTAATTATGAAAATTAGATCCTGATTTGCATAATTGTATTTTAACCATGTCAAGCATCATTTCAGCTACCTACATACCAAAAATCATGACGATCCATCAAACAGTTGTTCAGTTATCCTCTCTCGAATATTTTCAAAGAAACCATCCTGCAGTTCCAGAACAAGCCGCTAGGGGGCCCAAACTCACGTGACTTCTTCCCAAGCACGAGAGCTACCTATCATCCAAATTTCATGACCCTAGCATGTCCAGATCGCGAGATATCAAAACCGGAAATTGCGCTGCAGTACCAAGGGAAGCCACTAGGGGCCCAAAATCTAATCATTTCCAGTTTTCGTCACACCCTACCAACACACCAAGTACGAAACCAATCCATCCAGGCGTTCTTGAGTTATCTTGTTGACCAACAGACGGACGGACAGACGGACGGACAGATAAACGCAACTGAAAATATAACCTCCATGGCACATTTCATGGAGGTAATAACAACAACATATACAATTATTCTAATAAATACATTTTACATACCGTGCATCAAGTTTAAACCTTCGTTTAGCGAAGTGTAAATGTCCTGAACTCAGTGTTCTCAACAACCACATCTGCACACAGGGATGCACCTGCTGCCCATATGAGCTCCTGGCCCAAATAAGGCCGTGTTTATGTGAAGTCACCCAATGCGCTTTACTTGTGGTTTACCCCAAAGCCGGTTTCAAGTGGCTCCATCTGAACGCTCCTAAATCACATTGAAAGCGCCTCGATCCCAAACCAATTTGGTTTCGAATCGGTTTTCCCGCAGCGCAATTTGCGTCTGAACGCAATGTGATTTCAATGTGACTTCTCCTGGTCATGGATTACGGGGTGATATTTCTTTATTTATATGCAGTACCAACTTTTACGAGGTAGCAACTTAAAGAGCAGTAATGGTCAATTAATGTGTCCGTTCTAGGACGAGCTTTACCGCCTCTGGCGGGACCACGTCGGTATTCAGCCGAGATACGCTGGGAGGGGGGCATCAGCAAGCAGGTCGTTGACCTCTGACATTCCTAACACGCCACCTTGCGTGTCTTCATCAAACAACAATAAATGCAGCGAATAATTGTGAAACACGCTACTAAACATGCTTTTTAATAAAATATGAGCACCCATCACCTTAAATCGATAATTAGATTTTTATATACCTGTTTAAAAATCAGCTTTACATGATTTAAAATTCTGAGGGCAACAAGAACAATATATCCCTCTGCCAGACATATTCCACTAGAAACAAATAAAACATTTATCATATGCCACACATACTTAATTTTATGTATGGCATCCTCTGAAGACACCTATTGCGCGGGGGCGAAAAAAGAAAAGTCTAGGCAAAAATGCAGCCAAATAACAAAGCTGGAATACAAGGCTGGTATTGTTAATTGCAGTAGCATACAGCGACGCTGACGATAAGCCGACACATGCTGGCCTTTTGCCGCATTTTTGAGTAGGCACTGTGCTGATCTGTTGTGTTTCGTGGAGCTTCAAGAGCCCCGGTGTCATCTTCTGTAATCATCACCGGCACCCTATTGTCGCTGGCTACCCTGGACTAAGAAGGATGGCATCTAGGCCAGAGCCTCGAAGGGGGTGGTTTCTTTCTTTGTACAGGCGAAAATCAATGCACGCGAGGATGCCATCCATAACATCAAGTCGGTGTGCCTTAAGTTTTAAAGATATGTAAACATTATTGTAAATGAAACAAATTGGAACTAAAAAAGTACTGACCAAATCCTAACCAATTTAAAATTTTAAAACAAATGAAGAAAAATTGCGAATATGACAAATTCTTACTAGAAAACAAGATATTGAAAGTATATAAAAGAATTACAAATGTAGCGGGAGATATTAAACCGACATGTAAATAGGCAGATAGCAAAGGTACATTAATCATAAATGTTGTAATCAATTTGAACAGGAACCATAAACGGATGAGGGCGGATATCATAACAAAGCAAACAATTGACTACGCCTGGTGTCATATTGTCATAATTACAACCACATCTTGTGGGGAAATAAGCGCAGAGTTAGTCTACCCAGAAATAGAAGAAAGGCAGTTTGCAGATAGAGCCATACATGAGAACCTAACGCTCATCTATACAACTATATTCGGTAAATATCCTTTTGTTATTGAAGATAATTACTCTTTTCACTACCTCTTGTTATTGCCAGACTTATCTTGATTGAATATTTAAAAATATTCAATCACATTAATATTAGCTACTGATATAATTTAGATTGTCTATAGTCTTGCCATAACTCATTATATGTTAATACTGTAGTTACATAAATCGCAGATTCTAAAAGCAAATTCTAAATTTCGATCAGGATCTCTACCGGCTAATCGGAGAATATTTAAACCTCGTCCAGGCATTGTATGTGTATCGTTGTTATACATGTATACCAACCTAATTAAATGGACGTTCAACACTGCACAAATTTGTTTGCTTAGAGAAAGCTGGTAGCGTCCATGTATAAGGCTGACAATCAAAAGATTTATTTTTTTTATTGTATGGTTTATCTTATTTCGTCGTGACCGTTTAACATCAAAGCACTCGAAAAGAAATTAGAACATGGCCACTACCCCTCAGCCAATGAGAGCCCTTCATTTTCTGTGTCTATATCCCCATAGTGCAAAAAAAGTGTTGTACTATCTAAAAAAGTGTGGTACTAACTGAAAGGTGTGGTACTAAAACTCATTTGCATAAAATTAGTACCACACTTTTCAGTTAGTACAACACTTTTTGAATATAATTGAAACCAGGCCCCCCCTCTGTGCAGGCTAATCACCAAAAAAGACCAGCTTTCTCGGAGTTGTTTGGCTATCCATCTGACCTGATTGACGACCTAGCAGTCGTCAATCAGGTCAGATGGACAGCCAAACAACTCCTTGAAACAGGCAAAAAGTGACACTAAACAAAGCTTTAAAAGGAAAATCAAGACAAATTTTGATATTGAATAAGTTTGAAAGATAACTTCGGGGAAATGGCCATGTTCTAAGTCAGATAGACCATGGGCTTGGGCTCGTTTACTGGGATATAGTGTTGCCCACCCACTCGGGGACTACCTGACACCCTCGGCTACCGCCTCGGGAGTCAGGCAGTCCCCTTGTGGGCAGAGCAACACTATATCCCAGTAAACTCGCCTGGCCCATGGTCTATCTATTACATAGAACCGTACATTTTAGAGGCCTCTGTCCGGGGAAATATCATGTATACAACGTAACTCAATGATTTCTAGTCTCAAAGTTAGATTTACGCTGGCGTCAAGCAACAGATGGAAAGCTTGAATATACTTTTAAAAAATGTAGAGGAATGTTTCATTGGGAGACTTTTGTACACGGAAAATTCTACGTCGACGTTGCAAATTTTACAAGGAGTTATGAATGAGATGAAAATTGTGTATGTAAAATACGTTACGAGTTTCAGGGTATATGACGGTGCCCTTTTTTGTACAGAAAACAAAATAGTAGGAACAGAATTCTTAAAGACTGGGTGGAAAGTCTGATGTACCAGTCGGACAGGTAAAAATTGTACGTTGTTATAAATGAATGTGTTAGGCCTGAGACTGTATTATTACATTTCTCCAATTTTCTAGTTCGGGTACATAATTGACTTTTCGGTTAGTCGGCTGTAGTTCATTTGACCTCCGCAGGGCGAGTTAAAAAGTGGGTGTCAAAAACTGATACGTCGACAGAAAGTTCTAATGTTGAATTTAACCCTCAACAGTACACCTTCCCGGACTGATTAATCTGTACACCTGGGGTCCGCGCGGACCCCAGAGCAGTTTTTTGCTAATTTTTAGAAATTATCAACATGCTACCAGCTCAATTGTTTTGCAAACTGATGTGGGAACCTCTGTGTCCACATTACATACAAAAATCATCTTGAACTTTTTCTATTTTTTGGTGAAGAAAAGAAGACAAGAAGAAATACCCGATTTTTTTACCCATTTCAGACTGAAGGGGCTTTTGAGGCCCAGCTTTGATCTCAGATAGCGGCTAAACGGCTTGCGCTAGAAGTATCAAATTTGGAGACCTTTCCTAAAATGTCTCTGGAAAAAAGTTCATATTAGTTTTATACTAGTAAGTTGATGTTTTTTTTGTGTTGCCATGGCAACGGGTATTTTTTTTAAATAGAAGTAATTTTGGTTTAAACATAAAAATTTTCTGAGTTTTATATGAAATTACACTTCTTTTCCAACATTAATAACATCTTACATAATTAAATATAAGTTGAATCATTTAATATGCATGGAATATGCTAATTTGATGACGTCATTGGTCAAAATCCAATATGGCGGACTATATATTATTAGCCCTGACGTCATATGACGTCATAATTACACCAAAGTTGTTAAAATTTAATTCTATTACTACACCATTCTCTGAAAACTTGGTAGACATACGATGAATGCATAAAAACATATAAAAACGGAAATAAGGTAATGTATAAGAACGCCAGTGTATCCATTATGATCGAAAGCCGGCTGGGGTCCGCGCGGACCCCAAAGGAAAATCAGATATAATTTTTTTTTTATAAATGGTAGAAACGGAGTTTTCTGCACTGTATTGAGGGACAACTTTGTGGGTGACAATTACCTAAAATTTCAGAAAAAAATCTTTAGAAACAAAAAAAAAATTACAGAATATATAGTGCTGGGGTCCGCGCGGACCCCAGGTGTACTGTTTAGGGTTAATCGGAGATAGAAGAAAGATAAAGGAGTTTACATATAGAGTCATACTTGTACAACCAAATTCTCCTCCCCAAAACAGCAACGGTACTGTTTTCCGTTTTGTATAATTATGCATAAACGACCTTGAGGTCCTTAGCGTTAGAATCCCTGTGTACAGCTACCTTGAAACCAGTTCGGCAAGTTTTAAACGTGATTGGATCATGTACGCTGTTGCTGTAACTATTTGAGGTTTAAATTTAGATCTGTCTAGTTAGACTTTGACTAAAGTTAAAGTTAGCGGAGAGTGCCAAAGACTGCTGCACAAAATCTACAGAACAGGTACTTGTTTTGGACATGGAATCGGTTTCCAATGATATAGTAGATGTGGATTTAAGCGACATAACTCCAACGGCAAATATGGATCGGTGTACATGTTTTTTGGCAACCAGGTTACTGTGGTCAAGTTTTAAAGCGTGTCTTGGGGGTCCCAACATCACTGCATTGGACCTTTTGTGTTTGTCGTTTTTCTTGTTACCAAAATAAGGCGGGTATGTTAATGGATGTTCATGACTTTTAATAGGCAAGTTGCGTACTTCTGACAAGACAACAGTGCACATTTTGTGTTTGTTTGTTTGTCTGTTTGTTTATTTTAATTTGTCTGTTTGTTAGTAGCAGTTTAATTTTCCATATGAGCAATTGTCTGGATTGTGGGGCTCCAAGTGGCTTGCCTTTTCTGGAAAAAATGTTGAGGTTGCAGTTTGTGCTCCTTAATCTAGGTCAACGACCTTCTTGCCCTGGTAGACCAGCTCTGATGACCCTGAGTGATATACACACAATACTTTTCAAGCGGAGGTTTGGGCTTTGGATAATTTTGGCGTGTTGTATGCTTTTGATCGGGTTTTCTTTTTGTACCGGTATCTTTTTAGTGCTAGCCAAACAAAAAGACACCGGTAAACCCCCTGTTTGGGGTGGCCCCCCCAAAAAACAAGTACAAAAAGCGAAAGACCAATTATTGGGTCCTGGCCCGTCAGAAAGACGTTTACTTTAAGCAGGCTAAGAAAACAAAACTCTCTTGCTTTGAAAACAGCTTAGACTTAGACACAAATTTACCGACATAGCACAGTACCTGAGGAAACAATACTACTGTATCGAAATTGAAACAAAGAATAGACAGCAAGAGAAGGGACCATGAAAGAAGGTAACCATTCTGGACAGAACACGCAGATGGTTCGAACGAGGAGTTAAGGAAGCTGGACACATCAGGTCCCGCTCCCCATCCCTCATCTGTGACCAAGGACGCCACAGGCTCCCATAACACGTAGTCCAAACAATGATTATTAAGTTGACAAAAATTAGAAGACCATCACATTGCGTTATTACTTTTAGGATGCATGCTATACATGTAGTCAAATTATAGTTGTTCAACAAAACATACCAAGCAGAAGCATAATATAATTCCACTTAGGTCAACAAGAATGTCTTCAGAGCCAAACAAAGAGCCGTTTGATGACGAGTTTAAGACTGCCCGAGAATATCTGGACTATTTCTATTCCGACTTGATGACCAAAGGCCATGTGGACGAAGGATTGGCCATGCCGTGGATCTTGGAACAATTTCATGGGACCTTCAGTAAAGGTGCTCTCTTAGTCTAAAACAAGGCCATGTTGATTTGATTAGATGACATCCTCTGGGAACAATAATGAATTCCCTTTATAATAATAATTGTTTATTGATTGATCGATGAGTACAATCCCTAGCATGTTGCAGCGCAACTAAAAAAGTAGCGCTGAATTGTATGCTAGTGTTTAGAAACTTTAACTTTATTATGAGATCTAAGTGGTAATGAAGGTTTTAACAGGATACAGACGACAAGGCACATGGTATTGTACAGCAAATACTTTTTGCACGCTCGCAACAGTTTTAAGGGATACCAAAGAATGTCACCACTGAAGTAAAATCAACATGGCCTTAGTGAAGAAAAAAACATCAAAAAGTGACACATTTCATAGGAACGAACTATTCCAACATAACCAGTGTCAAAAAAAAAACAATAGCTTTTTGGGTCATTTAAATTAAAAGCAATATCTAAAAGAGGTATATACAAACGCATGTTAAATTATTATGTTAAGCCCTGGAGGAGTAAATTCATTATGTCCCATGCTACATTAGCTCAGTATGACTATTGTATTATTTTTTGCAATTGTTGTTGCAGACAGAGACTTCGGCAGAAGACTGTTAGACGTTGGATCAGGCCCGACAGTGTACCAGCTGATTAGCGCCAGCCGAGTTTGTCCAGAAATCATCTGCTCAGACATCCACAGGGTTATGCATTTTTTTTGTTATTTGCCAAATCATGCCCGAAGTCAAATTACATACCTCATAATGTGTCAAATAGTAAAAGACGAGCAAAATGGAATACAACTACTACCTATTGAACTAAAGCTACGTTTAACATTTAAAATGCAGGATAAGACTTCTATGAACTGTTTACCATTTTCTATAACGGTTTCGTATGGTGGTTTTGTGATTTACTTTCAATCCAAAGAGTTCTTTTTATCTTCTAAGCGGAAAAACGCGGCAAAATTGAGGTGCCTGAAATAATTTTTGTTGTTGTATAGTAAAGAAAAACTTGATAATAAGACAGTCTCCTTTCATTTGTACTGCATATGTGTATTAATGGGGCATCGATGTATTTTTGTCGTTTCTAACTACCCCATTAATCTCTAGCGGATGCGCATATATCCCCCACTCATATACAGATCGTTATGCAAATTAACTGTTATAGATAGTAGACCAGTATATATGAACATAGAGCTAAACACATTTATTTATAAAGAAAATATACCTTTTGTATTCAGAAAGTTTTTTTTTTATCTCACCTCTGGATTTCGATTTAAAGGAATATTTTATTTTTTTTTCATGATGAAATTTCAACATCTTAAGGGAGCCTTGGGGGAGATAATCAGCTGGAAGAATGGGGACCTGAACGCGTTTGACTGGACCGCTGCCATGAAGTATGTCTCTGGGTTAGAGGGCACGAGGTAGGAAGATAAATAGCATTTGTACAAAATTATGACGAGGTGACATATAAACTCGCGATTCAAAATGATGCTTTTAAATTGTTCATTTCTAATTGCAAACCGTGTGTAAAATGTATAGTAATTCCTTATCATATGGGGTGGACACCGTCGGGAGGTCAGTGTCATTTACCAATTAATCAATCAATCAATTAACCGATTAATTAATCAATCAATTAACCAATCAATCAATCAATCGACTAACCAATTGATCAATTAATCAAATAATCAATTAAATCAGTGAAAGCGTTTGCAAACGAAGGCTGAATTGTGCCATCTGTGTCATCTAATGAATGTTAGTGTGAATCCATAGCCATTAAGTATATATATTTGTGTACAAGTTGGGGTTCTCGCCAAGAACAACTACGAAATGCCATCAAGGACACCGTGGTGTGTGATGTGTTTAATGACAACCCCCTACATCCTGCTGTGTTCTCACCGTTCGATACCGTCATCTCTACATACTGTCTGGAGGGAACCAGCTGGGACAAGGGGAGGTAAAATTCTATAAATTTTCTATAAAAAATTAACTTTAGTTCACTTTGGTTTAAAATTGAAGTTTTGTCTTTCATTTTTCAATACTTCCTAAAAGGGTGCATTGTTTTGGATGGCGCTAATGTATGCTAGGTTTGCATGACTTTATAACTTAGTAGGCAGATATTCATTTTCTCTTGCAATAAATTAACAGAGTTTGCTCTGGATTCAATTATATGTATGGATGTATGAAACATAAACTATCATGATTCAATAGCAAAGTGTTCCACCATACAATAGCATGGAATCGTTGTAATATGTCTGTTTAAAGTTTCTTAAGTAGGCATGTTAAGTTTTGCGTAATTTTATTGAAATCTTTATAATTCAGAAATTGCTATTTCGTCAAGCTATATTACAATAAACCAGACAATATACGCACAAAAGTGATGTAGAAGTATGTATATTACATATTTTCGTTTTTTAGGTCCACCTACGCCAAAACAGTGCAGAACACCTGTAGCCTGTTGAAGCCAGGTGGTCATTTCATCTTACTGACGTACATCGGGGTCACCTATTATGTTCTACATGGCAAGAAGTACTCTGATACTCTCTTCCTCGACACCGAGTTCGTGCTCAAGAGCCTGTCTGAAGCACGAATCACGGTTTTGGAGACGTCTGTGCACAAAACTCCCGAGCGGGAGGAATGCATGTTTAGTGATGTAAAGAGCATCATGTATGTTGTGGGAAAGAAAACGGAGAAGAAGCAATAAAACAAACAAAATTAAGTAGCATCATGTGGAAAGGAAAACGAAGAGGAAGAAATGGATAATTAATTTAAAGAGCATCATGTATGTAGTAAACAAAAACAAAAGAAATTAATAATTAGTTTCAAGATAATTATGTGTGAAGAGGGAAAGAAGATAGAAATAATTACTATAATGTTTACCTTTTGCAAAAGGAAAACATAATCATTTTTAACCGTTTTTGCTTTGTTAAACTTTCTTCTACCTCTTCTTCTTCCTCTCCAAAGAAATAAGGTCAATGACCTGAACCAGACATCTGACACCATGGTAACTAGTGTCAGGTTACATCATTTTGCAATTTTATAGTAGAAGGGATTGAAAGTCCTGTCTTACTATACATACAATGTGAATATGTTTGAGTAAGAATTAACAGAGCAGACCATATGTGAAGGCAAACATGATGCATTTGCTTGTGTTGCACTTTTCCTGTTTATCTCATTACCTGGTTGTCTTACCTGTCGAATTCATTCATTCATTCCATCTGTAGTAGTTACCATTTAGCGGGTTGTGATTAGGCTTTACTAGAAGAATTTTCATGTTGTGGCCTCCAGACATGCAGACAACATTAGGTTTGACTTTGAGCTACGTCTACAGCCCACAAGATACTTTACTCTTCATACCAACTTGATGTCATTGGATAGATCTTCGTAAATGAAACTGAATTGTTTTTATTTGAACAAAATCAGACATACCAAATTATCTTTATTCTTTCTGCAGTTTATTGCTCTGCTACTAGAGTTTCAGACTCCATCGTCTACAATTATACACTGTATAATTTACACAGAATGACAAAACACCCTTTCCCTGTTCTTGGTTGGGCAATCATTTCAATTGGAACAATTGAAAAATACAACGGTGACATCATCAATAATAAAAGGTTACAGATTCTGAAATAATTGTAACCACAATTGTGACAATACTACAACTTCAAAATGAAAAAAAAAATACAACTGATTTGAATCACACTCAGCATTGGTGCATTTAGAATAAAAGTGTACATCTTTATATCTTCTGTATTACCCTGCTCTGCTACTAGAGTTCCAGACTTAGGTCATCCATAATAATACATTGTATACCTTAGATCTTAGACCCTTCCGCAACCCTGTTGCATAGGTCGACTCCTTGTCTGACTTTTTTCTCCAAAGTATACATTGTATACTTTACACAAAAGGACAAACCGCTCTTTTTCTGTTCTTGGTAGGGCAATCAATCTTAGAATCAAAGTTGGAACAAGTATTCGAGTTAAACATTGCAAAATACAACCATGACACCGGCAGTAATAAAAAAATTACACAAATTCTGAAGTAGTTATAACCACAATTGTTACAATACAATACAACTTAAAAACTAGAAAGGCCAATATTTGCTTAGAAGCAAATACAGCGATGGCTTCACCACATTTTACGACATGGCAGGGAAAGAATGAGAAACACAAGGGAAAACAATGATTTACATTGATATAACTATAATATGAAGTAACATACAACTAAAACAACAGTTGGATAGCTATTCCCTACTTTATTGGTTAGGATTTTTAATTGCATAATGCAAACTGTTGATTTTCAAAATTAAAAAAAACGTTCATGCCCCGCATTCCAATGCTGGAGCAGTAAAGCTTGAAATACCTACCAAAACACTTGAATACAGACATACTGTCAGTATGGAAATGCTCTGTGCAGGTGTTAATCAAGTTAAATCCCAACAGCCAATCAGCAAGAAATGCTTTGTGCAGGTGGAAATGCTCTGTGCAGGTGTTAATCAAGTTAAATCCC